GGTTCGTCAGTGGCTATTAGCCACTAGGTATATAGGGACTCTGGGGCAAGTGATGCTCTGTCTTCTTGGTGCTAGGGGGGTCAACAGTGGGAGGGTTTCTAGTGTCCTGGCCCCACTGGTGGACCTCCTGATGGCACCTGGTATTTCTGGCCACTGTGTGACACAGAGTATTGGACTGGATGGGCCTTTGGCCTGATCCAACACTGGCATCTCTTATGTTCTTATGTTCTAACAAAGCCCTGATCGTGTGGAGGTGGGCAAGTGGAAGCCCAGACAGAGCCACCTCTTCCATCTTGCTCTGCAGTCTCAGATGATCACCAATGAACCAGCTGCTGGACCAGGCTGGGCTGCAGGAGTCTGGAATTGTACACAGAGCACTGGTTTGTAGCTGTGGTTCCTCATTCTGCCCTTACAGCTGGTGTTAAAACATTGCTCTCTCAGGCTGATTTAACTTTAAAGAGCATTTTTAGTAGACATATACAAATACGCCCCTATCTTTCTTCCTTCGCACTTTGTGGCTTGTGAGCCTTTTTGTTTCCATCAACTTTTTGTTGATGTTGTTCTCAGTTTCTTTGTTTCTTTTAGGGGATTTTTATGTTATTTCTTATGCCACAGAGATGTTCCATGCCATTTCTGCGCCATATATATAAATGCAAATTTTGATACAGGTTTGGTTAATAGGGCTGGGAGCAAAAGAACGGGAGTGGGGAACACGTCAAAACCTGGAATTTTCAAATTGAAAGTGTGTTATTGAAATTTGGGGATGCCCCTACTTTTGAGCCTCTTTGCTGCTATGGAATGACAGATGGGAAAGCTATAGTTTTAAATGAAGCTGTATCAGGTTTTTAAATCAATTGAGGGCCATACCAGAAGGTGGATTTACAGTCATATTTCAAATGTCTTGCTGGTTTATAAAAACACTATCAATCTCCGGCGCTCTTTCACCCAAAGGAAATTAAACACACTTGTACTGCCGCTGGACTCATAACTGCTTGGGAAGAGGGGCATGCATAAATCTTTTTTTTTTTGCTCTTAAACAGATTTTTTGCAATAGACCTGAAATAGACAAGGCTTCCCTTTCTCTCAAGAAGTAAAGAGAAGCTCTAGTACCTACGGTGAAATTGACAAGGGTTTTCTTTTAATTCCTCAGCAAAACGGGAACAGGAGGGGGTGGAGGTTGTTGAAGGATTATGGAGAGTGCTTACTGACGTGCTTAGAAGAAATGCGCTAAAGATGAAGAACTCCTGTCCCCCCCACCCACCCAAATCTTCCGTCGCTGAAGCCAGTAAGAAAGAGGCAGGGGGGTATGGAGGGGGTAGCTGGGGGGGGGGGGGGGGGGGGGGAGGAGAGAAGAAGTAGGGATTACAGTAAGATCAGAAACTGCATTTGGAGAGGATTTGGAAAGCAGGAACTGCTAAGGTGCTTTTTTTGAAAGGGAGAGATGTGGAGATTTGGCAGCTTGCCTGTAGGAGAAAGGGGGAAGGGAGCTATTCAAGGTTAATAAAGGCACTGGGGGCTGACTGAGTATCTGGATGGTACCACCGCCATCTGCATCTCTGAATAAATGCCTACATACTTAGAGATAAATTTTAATACACACACAAACATAGGATCAAGGATGCACCCAATGAAATATAAAAAGAAACACTCCAAGCCAACCTGCCCTGCTGCACTTGCTTCTTGAGGGCTTCTCCTCCCACTTCCTCCCTAGACCACAGCTACATCCCTGGGTGAATGTGTGTGTGTGTGTGTGCACGCGCGCTTCTTTCATTTTAAATGCTTCTGCTTTCCCACTGCTGCAGCTGCAGCATCCTCAGCCTCATCTTCTTGTTAGGCCTGCCCTTGTCCCTCCTTCGGTCATGGCTGGAAGAGGAGCAGAGGATGGGCATGAGCTTTAGGAGAGATTGCCCTGCAGGAGTGGAATTGGGGGGGGGCACATGGAGGCTGCTTGGGAAAGGGGAAGGTTCTGAAAAGGGCAGGAAGCCCAGCAAGGGATTGAGACTGGATGGTGGGCTGTTACAGGGACTTGGAAGTCCTTGGAGAGCCAGTTTGGTGTAGTGGTTAAGTGTGCGGACTCTAATCTGGGAGAACCGGGTTTGATTCCCCACTCCTCCACATGCAGCTGCTGGTGTCACCTTGGGTTAGTCATAAGTTCTTTTGGAGCTGTTCTCTCAAGGGCAGTTCTCAAGAGAGCTCTCTCAGCCCCACCCACCTCACAGGTTGTCTGTTGTGGGGAGGGGAAGGGAAAGGGATTGTAAGCCACTCTGAGCCTCCACTCTGAGACTCCTTCAGGTAGTGAAGAGTGGGGAATAAATCCAATCTCCTCCTCTTCCTCCTCCTTCCTACCCTATCCTTGAAAGAGTGAAGGGTGCATGCATTTCAGTGTAAAACAGAATCTGCCTCCTCTCTTCTTCTCCTTCCAGTTGCAGTGCGAATGCCCTGGAGGACATATCACATCCAATGCTCCCTCTAAGCTGTGGAGTCTTGTGAGCAAAAATTCAACTTTGTGAGCTACCAGCATTAAAGTTGTGAGTGAGCGATTTGGCTCCTGCATAAATTAGTTTACTTTGGAGCCATCCTTCCTGAGCTAAGACAAAAAATGTGTGAGCCGGCGGCTAAAAAACAGTGAGCTAGCTCACTCTCACTCAGAGGGAACACTGATCACATCATGAATCACACGCCATACATGACACAGCTTGCTAAAAGGCTATCTGTGTGATATGATGCATCTAAATGGTGTAGTGGTTAAGAGCGGCGGACTCTAATCCGGAGAGCCAGGTTTGATTCCCAACTCCTCCTCCACATGAAGCCTGCTGGGTAACCTTGGGCCAGTCACAGTGCTCTCACAACTCTCTCAGCCCCACCAGCCTCACAAGGTGCTTGCTGTGGGGAATAGAAGGGAAGGCTGAATTGAGATTCCTAAGGGTGGAGAAAAACGGGGTATGAAAACCTACTCTTCTTCTTCAAAATCCAAGCCTAGTCTCAAGGGTGGTATTGCCATTAGGGGTTGTTGCTAGGTGGGGAAGAGACCCCTGCAGTCACTGGAAAGCTGTGTGGGCGACATTTAAAACAAGAAAAACATTAACTTGGTATTTCAATTAGACCTACTTATTTATTTACTTCATTTATACTCTGCCTTTCCCTTCAATGGGGACCTAAAAAAAGGCTTATGTTCTTCATTTCTGCTCCACTTTATCCTCACAACATCCCTGTGAGGTAGGATAGGCTGAGGCTGTGATACTGGCCCAAGGTCATCCAGCCAAGTTTACAATGGCAGAGTGGGTTTTTTTAACCTGTGTTAACCAGATCCTAGTCTGACCCTCTAACCCAGGGGCTCTCAGCCTTTTTGAGCTTGCAGGCACCACTGGAATTCTGACACAGGGTGGTGTGCGTGGCCCTTACATGGCTGCCACAAAATGCAGATGACATTCAGTCAAACAGTGAAGATCTTTGTGGGGAGGGCCGCTGCTGTGGTGGCCGCTGCGGCCAAGACAACACTTTCAAAAATCTGCCGCGCCAATCAAATCCCCCATGGCCACTCAGAAGCCTCGGTGGGCAAAAGCGCCCCCCCCCAGGCCCTACCAACTTTCTGGGTGCCAGAAAAGGTGTTGGCAGGCGTGATGGTGTTCATTGGCACCATGTTGGAGACCTCTAAATCCCACACCACGCCGGCTCTTTATTGACAGACATGGGCAAAGATTCCCAAGTGTTAATTGGCACCATGTTGGAGACCTCTAAATCCCACACCACGCCGGCTCTTTATTGACAGACATGGGCAAAGATTCCCAAGTGATTACCAAAGCACTCTAAAACACCTGAGTGGTTAGGGCTTCAGTCTGCCATGTGGCTTTTGCCTTGCTCAGAGGATGCGTCTGGCTGGCTGCTGCTGGTCTAGATTGGCTCTTAGTTGATTCTAGTCTGACTCTTATTTTTTGCTTCCAGAGTTGAAACAAACAACCGAACAAAGCCAGGTATATGTTTCTTTCCGCTTCCCATTCCCCTTTCACTTTCTTTCAATCAAAAATTCCCCACCTACACTCAACATCATTGGCTGACCACAGTTAAAGGCAGATAATGACGACGTCAGAACATTAGGTAAGCTGAACTTCTGAGAGCCAGTTTGGGGTAGTGGTTAAGAGCAGCGAACTCGAATCTGGACAACCAGGTTTGATTCCCCACTCCTCCACATGTAGCCAGTGGGGTGACCTTGGGTCAGTCACAGTTCTCTCAGACCTCTCTCAGCCCCACCTAGAAGAAGAAGAGATTGGATTTATACCCTTCCCTTCACTACCCAAAGGAATCTCAGAGCGGCTTACAAACTCCTTTCCCTTCCCCTCCCCACAACAGATACCCTGTGAGGTAGGTGGGTCTGAGAGAGCTCTGACAGAAACTGCTCTTTTTCAAGAACAGCTGTGCCAGAACTGTGACTTGCTCAAGGTCATCCAGCAGGTGCAAGTGGAGGAGTGGGGAATCAAACCCAGTTCTCCCAGATTAGAGTCCGTGCACTTAACCACTACACCAAACTGGCTCACAGTGTGACTGTTGTGGGTGGGGAGAGGACGGGAAGGCAATCGGAAGCCACTTGGAGACTCCTTCAGGTAGTGAAGGGCAGGGTATAAAACCAACTCTTCTTGTGGAAAGGAAACTTAACACTAGGCTGCCATTTTTAATGGTGTATCCTGCTCTGGTAAGACAGATGCTTGAATTAAGGAAAACCAGGTTCATTCCAAGAACCCCACAGGGTACATTTGGACAAGCCTTCTACTCCTAACCCTTCTAAAACATTCAAGGAAGAACAAAACCCTGTTCTGAGCTCCTTGGTGGAATTCACATTTAGCAAATAAACAACACAAATGGATCTCACCCAGCAAGTTATCAGCTTAAATTTATTTTCAGGGTTGTTTTTTTTTTTTTTAGTTTATTAACAATTACTGAAGTTCTACAATTCAGAAAGCATCTGGGTTATCTTCTGGATCCCTTTGAGAGCCGGAAGCTCAGTCTGCAGATCTGCGTGGTATTCAGGCTGTATCCGCTGTCTAATCAGACACCTGTCAGAAGACATAAAAAAGCAGATCAATGGCTGGAGAATCCGCAGTATGAGGAGGGCAGGTGTAAGGCACCTCCGTTCTTGCCCCTCTAGGTTTGTGGCTGAAAATGCATTGATGCTCTCCACCTGTGGCTTTCAGAGGATCAAGGCAAAGCTCAGCTTGAGGTTTCTAGGACGAGCTGCAATGGGCAAAAATGCAGCAAATGTTAGTTGCTTCTGAAGTCCTAGTGCTTCCACTGCCTTCAACGGCAGCTTACTGGGGACTGAGCAATACTATGCATGCAAACATGTGCATTTAAACCACAGCAGCTGCTGCTTCTAAGGAAAAGCAGCTTTATGGAGGACAGCCATATTGGTCGGCAGTTGAAGAGCTTGATTCAAGTCCACTAACATCTCAGAGACCAACAAGATTTGGGGGGTATGAATGTTTTGAGAGCCAAAGATCCCTGCACCAGGTACCAACTTACCTTCGTATCTGAGGAAGGGAGCTTTGACTCTTGAAAGGTTGGACCCTGAAAATCTTGTTGGCTTCTAAGGTGCTACTGGACTCAAATCTACCTCTTCGACTAGGGTATTGTTCTATACAGTCCACCCTCCAAAGCTACCATTTTCTTCAGGGGAACTGATCTCTGTCTGGACATCACTTATAATTCCAGGAGACCTTCAGGTTTCTCCAGGAACCCTAGGTGAAGCACACACCTTGCATGCACGAGCTTCCAGGTTCAATCCCAGTTAATGCTTCTAAGGGTACAGAGAAATGCCTTTCTCTGCTTGAGAAGCTGGGAAGCCACTGCCAGTTAGAATTTAAAGAACAAAACCAAACCCTAAATTAGATGAACTCATTGCCTGTTTCAATTTTCATATAAGTATTTCAATAGCCTGGAACCACAAGGCTTTATTCCATTTAAGCAAATTGTATGGGAATTAATCCTAAAAGAAATCAACCCTGACTGTTCCCTGGAAGGCCAGATAATGAAACTGAAGCTCAAATACTTTGGCCACTATATAAAATGCTTCAAGCCCCTCTGCTGAAATCCTCACTAAACTACCAACAAGCCTGGGCAATAGATCTAGATAGACAGATTACAGAGGATCAGTGGGATCGAATCTGGAAATCCCAGACTAAACTTTCCAACTCCATCTATGTTTTTGAAGCTAATATGAAAGTTCTCACCCGATGGTACCTTACCCCAGCCAGACTAACACACATGATTCCTCAAATGAAACCCTTGTGCTGGAAACAATGTGGAGAAAAAGCGACGTACTATCATTGCTAGTGGGAGTGCAAAAGTATTGAGAAATTTTGGTTACTAGTCATTAGAAAGGTTAAGGAGTTAACTGGTTATGAGGTTCCATGGGACCCAGCCTTAATTTTATTGAATTTATGGCCTGCAGATGGGTTCTCATTTACTAGTAGAAAGTTGGTGGGTACTCTACTCACGGCGGCAAAGATAGCGATTGCCAAGCATTGGAAAGATCCGAACCCTCCAAGTATACAACACTGGCTTCATAAAGTGTGGGATTTATTCCTGTTAGAGAATTTTAATACGTTTCACTCAGAAACCCAAACAGAATGTGAATTGATGAGCCTACTTCATGCTTGGTATCCTTTTTTGGACAAGATCAATATAGACAAATTTGACGGGGAAAATCTTAGTAATGCTAAATACAAATTGTTGCTATATAACTAAAAACTGTTATTTTGTAAGGTTAGAGAAATGTGGTTTCTTGCAATACCCTTGCTTTGTATTTGGACTTTCCTGTTGGATTTATTTTCTGTTTGTATAAAATTCTTAATAAAATTTATTGATAAAAAAAAAAATTCTTTGGCCACCAAATGAGAAGGGAGCACTCACTGGAGAAGACCCTGATGCTGGGAAAGATTGAAGGTCAAAGAAGACGGGGACGGCAAAGGATGAGATGGTTAGACAGTGTCATAGATGCAACAAACATGAGATTAAAGAAACTCCGAAGCACAATGGACGACAGGAGGGCCTGGCGTGATGTGGTCCATGGGGTTGCGAAGAGTCGGACTCGACTGTGCGACTGAACAACAACAATGGGAATTAAAGGCTTATAGAGGAGACACAGAGGTGTGATGAGGGAAGTCCCTGTGAGAGCCAGTGGTATTCCCCACTCTTTTTTTTAATTAATAGACTCTGGAAATTGCAGTTTTAGCCTTCTGTTATTTAAACCACATGATTCTCCCAAAGTTACGGGCAACCATCCATTATTTCCTCCTCACAGTCTGAATAGCTACAAACCTGTTCTTGACAGATTACCTAGGTGCAGCGTCGTCTTTCTAAGGCAGCGCCTTCACAGTGCCTGCCCCTTGATTTAGGTGCTGGATTATTACATTCCCGTGTCCGAGTGCGTTCTCCTTGCACACAAGGGGACCAGCTAGACCAGCAGCTCCAGCCTCCGTCAGTGAATGTCTGTGCTGTATGAAGATCAGATTGCAACTGTTTATTAGTTTCTACAGCAGGATTTTCACAGTGCTTGAATGGCAGCTGTAATAATGGTGAAATGAACCACTTCAGTCCTGTAAGCTCAAATGCCCATTCAACAGGTACTTTGCATACCTCGGAAGGCAGAGCTACAGCAGATCGGGGTCTGCACGGACTGGCTGCAAAGTGGGTGGAGAGGAGGGCGGCTGAATGAAAGCCAGTGTGGTACAGTGGTTGGACTGATAGGCTAGATCTGGGAGACCTAGGCTCAAATCCTCAGTATCTCATGGAGTGCTTGGTGCAGTTGAGCATCTCTCTCTTCCTAACCTACCTCACAATTGTTGTGCAGGTAATTTTTAGATGGGTAGAACTATGTATGCTTCCTAAGCCACTTAGAGGAAGGGCAGGATGAAAATGTAGTGCACAGATAATTTGAAGAGCTGGAGGCAACAGAAGGGTGCAGAATACTTCCCTCCATCCGCTGTTTTCCTACTTTATTCCTAAACTGCTTTCCCCCCAACCACACAGAAAATACACATCAAGAAATCCGTCTCTCTTGCTTCGAACTCTGCTGCTTTCCATCTGTGCCATTTGGCCCAGACCCAAGTGTCCAGTCTCTGACCTCTGCCGAATTTGTAGTTTCGCTCTCAGGCTCTTAGAAAATTCAGATTCAATAATCTGACTGTACGTAATTATTTGCCTCTGACAAAGGGAGATTGGGCTCTTGAAAGCTTATACTCTGGAAATTTTCTTGGCCTCTTAAGGTGCTTTTGGATTCAAATCTAGCTCTTATACATAATTATGTCACCTTGGAAATATGTGTGTGTGTGTGTGTGGGAAATGGACTCGAGCACTGTTTTCATACTAATCGCTGTAGAACAGCAGTGCCAGCATGGTACATCTTCCATATCTATGCAGTGGATGGGGGAGTGGCTTTGTTCTGGTGGTCAGGTGACTATGCTGGTGGTGGAGGGAGCTAATGCTGTATTTCCTGCTAAGCTAAGGGTAACCAGTAACAAGGTAAGAAGGATTTGAAGACAAGAGTCTCCATGAAAATTAAAACTCCAACATTGTTTGGATGCCTCCGAGCTGTTTCACCACGTAGACCTGCTGCCTGCCAGTCTAACTTCCACAAAACAGCAATTGGTAAAAACTGTTCCAAGACTGCACCATTCCAGACTTCAGACAGGGGTGAAGATCACTAAAAAAATATAACAATATACAGCACAAATAAAGCTTTGCTTGAACTCTTCTTTGTGACAACTGGTTTCCTGTGCACAGGAAGCTTTATGAAAAAATATGTTGGAACAGTCAATCATACATTTCCCCCACCTGAAATCAGAAGTCTAGGAACAGGCTTAATGGTACTTTGAATGAACTTGGCTAGAAAAGTCAACACAGACGTAGACAAACCAATGGTTTCACTCCACAGAAAGCAGCCTCCTATATTCTTTATATCCCAAAGAATCCTTACTTAAGTTCTAAATTCTTGAACTGCTGCTGACCTGTTATTTGCTCATATTTGGGTATCTGGCAGGCCATTCCTTTAAAATAGGGTGAACACGCACAAATGCACTCTCCGTTCACCAGTATCACAGTCCCTCCGTTTGGGCAGGGCTGGCATTTGCACACATTGTATTCAGCAACATAGTCCTCCACGGCTTGCTCCAGATTTTGTTTCTTTGTATGGGCATTGGGCATCTTCACAGGTACGAGAGTATAGATTGGATGTGGCTGTAAAGAAACAAAACACTTAACTTATTTCTGCAATAATTTGTTACGGTTGTTCAATTCTTCATGTAAGTGTGGCCAAAACTGTCTCGACATCCTAATATAAAGAAGTTACCCAGTGCACCTTTCCCTTATACTTAACTTCCACAGATAAATATTCTGATTAATAGAATACTACTGCCATTTATATAATGCTTTCAGTGTTCAATGTACTTCACATGCATTATTTTAGTATCCTTGTAACAGTCCTGTGGGTCAGTGGTACAGCATCTGCTTTGTATGGTGCAAAGTCCCAGGTTCAATCCCCAGAATCTCCAGCATCAGGAAGTAACTGACATGACAGAACTACACCTGAGACCCTGTCAGAGTGGACAGTAGATTTTTGCTAGACCCTGTGCTGCTCCCTTCTGTTCACTTCACTAGGGAAGACCTTCCGTTTTTTAAAAGAACCCTTTTTGTCTTTTATGGCTTCCTTCACTTGGGTGGCTAACCATGCAGGCAACCTTTTAGACTTGTCGGCACCCTTCCTATACTGGGGAATGCATTCTGTCTGGGCTTCAATTAGTGTGGTTTTAAACAGCTTCAAAACATCTTCTAGGAATTAGACTCTCTTGTGTTTCCTTTTTATCTTCTTTCATAAGAGACGCCAATGTTGGATCAGGCCAAAGGCCCATCCAGCCCAACACTCGGTCACACAGTGGCCAAGAATACCAGGTGCCATCAGGAGGTCCACCAGTGGGGCCAGGACATTAGAAGCCCTCCCACTGTTGACCCCCTCCCAAGCACCAAGAAGACAGAGCATCACTTGCCCCAGAGTCCCTATCTATACCTTGTGGCTAATAGCCACTGATGGACCTCTGCTCCATATGCTTATCTAATTCCCTTTTGAAGCTGTCCATGCTTGTAGCCACTACCACTTCCTGTGGCAGTGAATTCCATGTGTGAATCACTCTTTGGTAAAGAAGTACTTCCTTTTATGTGTTCTAACCCGACTGCTCAGCAATTTCATTGAGTGCCCACGAGTTCTTGTATTGTGAGAAAGGGAGAAAAGTACCTCTTTCTCTACCTGCTCTATCCCATGCATAATCTTATAAACCTTTTTAATCAGTCTCCTCATTTTTGTAAAGTTCTCTCTTTTGAAATCAAATGTTAGTTTTGGACTTAAGGAGTAACTTTCCACTGACACAAATTCTGAACTTAACAGTGTTGTGGTCACTGCTCCCAGTGGGTGCAACAATGGTCGAATCTGCATTTGTCTTTCCCACTGGTGTCCCAGCTTTCTGACTCCATCTTCAAAAAAGCTGTCTACATTTGGTTTTGTTTTCACACCTCAACAGTGCTAGCATACTTTTGCACATCCACATATGTTTATCACCTTCTCGTGGTGGCTCCACTGTCATTGCGCCTCCCCACTGCTTTAAAAGAATCTTCTCCAAACAACGTTCAAACAAGCATAGAGAAAGGCGGCGTCACAGCAGCATTAAACTTATTTAAAAATGCAAATGCAGATTCGACCAACATCTACATCTTGCACCAAGTGTTGAACCCTGCTCAGAACTTAGTCCAAGATCACTACCCCTCTGGTTGTCTTTGTGACCAACTGTTCTAGTGCACAGTCATTTATGATGTCTGGGAATCTCATTTTTACAGCATGACTTGAGTACATGTTCACCCACTCAATGCTAAGGTAGATAAGTCACCCAGTATCACAACATTATCTGCTTTAGTCACCTCCCTTATTTCCTTCTTCATCTTGAGATCAGCCTCAACATTTTGTCCAGGTGGGTGATAGTACACCCCCTCTTTTAAGTAACCCTTAGGTCCCAACCAATGTTCCCTCTAAGCTGTGGAGTCCTGTGAGCAGAAATTCTACTTTGTGAGCTGCTGGCATTAAAGTTGTGAGCAGGTAGTTTGGCTGCTGCATAAAATTAGTTTGCTCTGGAGCCATCTTTCCTGAGCTAAAACAAAAATGTGTGAGCTGGAGGCTAAAAAACTGTGAGCTAGCTCACACTAACTCAGCTTAGAGGGAACACTGGTCCCAACATCTTTACCCATGGTGCTTCTGTTGTGAAGTTCATCTCCCCAGTATTTTCTAACTTTCTTTGGTATAGCATAGCATAGCATAGCATAGCATAGCATAGCATAGCATACTATAGCGTAGCATAGCATACTATAGCGTAGCATAGCATACTATAGCGTAGCATAGCGTAGCGTAGCATAGCGTAGCGTAGCATAGCATAGCATAGCATACCATACCATACCATAGCATACCATAGCATAGCATAGCATAGCAATACCATACCATACCATAGCAATACCATACCATACCATACCATACACCTCCCCTAACCATCCCTCCCTGTCCGCTTAAAGGGCTTATACTCAGGTCTCACCCTATCCCATTGATTTCCTCCATTTCACTATGTTTCTTAGATACTCACTGTATCCAAATTGTCATTTAGCACCAAGCACTCCGGTTCTCCCAACTTGACTTGGAGGCTTCTAGTATTGGTACATGGACACTTAGAACATGTTTCACTCTCCAGCAACCCTTGCTACTTTTGTCTCGTTTGAACTAGTCCCCAGTGGAAAGTCAACAGAAGCTTGGGAGACTCTGGTCTGGGACAACTCAGCCCCAAGGGACAATAGTGTAGATGCTCAGGTCACCCGCAGGGCTCTTTTTGTAGCAGGAACTCCTCTGCATATTAGGCGACACACCCCTCATGTAGCCAGTCTTCCGAGAGCTTACAGCAGTCCATGCGAAAAGAGCTCTGTAAGCTCTTGGAGGATTGGCTACATTAGGGGGGGTGTCGCTTAATATGCAAAGGAGTCCCTGCTACAAAAAGAGCCCGGAAGTGAGAGTAGGATGACAAAGGACAGCCACTTTTGGTTGACAGTAGTCTGGATTATGTTGTGATTTCATGGGAAGATGCCATTGCTTGGAAGCAGGACACCTCTAAGAATGTGCAATCACTGTATAGCTTGGAGGAACAGATGGTTTTTGCAGAAGGTTCCATCCTTCGACTTGTCTCTTGGTTTCAACCGGAGACCAGAATAATTTATATCAAGAGTTTACTATACAGCCTGCATATTCCATGGCAATTCAGAGGCCCCAGACTCAGTTCAAGTATTGGAGTCTCTGACAACCTCTGAAATCAAAACACTCCCTGCAGGGAAAACATCTGGGTCCTTCACAAGCAAATTGCACTTATACATTTAAATTTATCACTCGGAAAGGCCCTAAAGATTGAAAAATCACACTGAAGTATGTCTGTTTTGGAGAGAGAGGGGGAAAGAACACTTGCATAGCTTACTGGATGTCTTATAATGTCTGACTGGATTGTGTTTATATTTTGTAATCTGCCACAAGACTCAGTGAGAAAGGCAGGCTATGTGTGTTGTCTGTGTTAAGTGCCATCAAATCATATCTGATTTATGTTGACTCTATGCATTGATGACCTCCAAAGCATCTTATTGTTAACAGCCTTGTCCAGGTCTTGCAAAATGAGGGCTGTAGCTTCCTTCATTGAATCAATCTCTCATCTGTTCCTGTTGCCTTCAGCTTTTCCTAGTATGATTGTCTTTTCCTGTGACTCTTGTCTTCTCATAATGAAACCAAAGTACAACAGCTTCAGAAGTCATTTTAGCTTCTAGGGAGAGGTCAGACTTGATTTGATCTAGAACCCACTTATTTGTCTTTTTGGTGGTCCATGGTATCCATAAAAATCTCCTCCAACACCACATTTCAAATGAATAAACTTTCTTCCAGTCAGCTTTCTTCATTGTCCAGCTTTCACATGCATACATAGTAGTGGGAAATACTATGGTATGAATTATCTAGGGATGGGCATGAACCAGAAAAATGTGGTTCATTTCAGTTTGTGATTCATGGCACGCCTGGTTCATGAGCCACAAACAGTCATGTACTTTCAAGAGCTAAACAAACAGGTTCAGTTTGTGACATTTGTGATGTGGTAGAATGGCCTGCCAGCAATCTAGAGACACCAGACTCACAGGGGATCTCCAGCTGACTGTCCTCTATCTGCCCCCCCAAGTCTGGTGAGGATTGAATGTACATGGTTCAAGTTTGCAATGGAGGAAAAAAACAGCAAAAAAGCACGGGTGATAGAAGCCAAGCAGAACAGAATCAACATCCCAGAGAATCTCTGCAGTAGAAACTGAAGGTGAGGGGCACTTTTACAAGCCCAGCAGAACCAGTGCAGTGTGCCCAGCAGAACCAGTGCCCCAGTGGCAGTGCAAACCCAATCAGGATTAAAGTCAAACCAGAGAATCTCTACAGAAGAAACTGAAGGTGGGGATATTTTTGCAAGCCCAGTAGAAAGTGCTCAGCAGAACTCAGTGCCATTGTGGCAATGCTAGCTCAATGGGACTGATGTCAAGCACAGAGCCACAATCCAAGCCGGGGGGGGGGGTTGCAAGCCCGGCAAACCAGTGCAATTTACTTGTGCCCAGCAGAACCCAGTGCCAATGTGGCAATGCCAGCTCAATCATAATCCAAGCTGGGGGGAGTCCAGCAGAACCAGTACAATATACAGAGTGCCCAGCAGTACCAGTGCAATCACAGAGTGGCCAGCAGAACCCAGTGCCAATGTGGCAATGCCAGCTCAATCACAATTCAAGCTGGGGGGGCATTTGCAAGCCCAGCAGAACCAGTACAATATACAGAGTGCCCAGCATAACCCAGTGCCACTGTTATCACAAGCTTAAAAGGACTGATCTCAAAGAACAGAATCACAAATCCAAGTAAGGGGTTGGGATTTTGCAAGCTCTGTGCAAGAAAATAGGAAACTGAACACAAGGGAAGGTGAAACTGACTTGACTAGTTTGAAACTGGCATGTGTTTCCAAGGCTGGAGAATTCCACCCCCTGTCGCTTTGAAGTTTGGTAAATATTTTGTTTGAGTGGATACAGTCTGTCTAGAAATGTATCCATTCACAAACCAGCACAAACCTCCACAAACTGCTTGAACGTTTGTGGAAAGTTTGTGCCAGTTGACCTGCCACAGACTTCAGTTTGCAAATCATGAATTGCCCAAATTCATCACAAATTGAGTTTGAGCAGGTTCGTGCCCATCCCTAATCTTGATCTTAGTTGCCTGTGACACATCCTTATATGTGAAGTAAACAAACCAACAATTCTACAACTCTCTGTCCATCTCCAACCTATTCATAGGAACATAAGTTCAAGAAGAAAATCCTCTTACTATATAGTCTATGAGGGCTGGAGCTTTGGTGAGGGTAGCAGCCCACCGTATGAAGTCCTTTGCATTGACAAGCTTGGCACCTCTTGATAACTTTTCCTCCAGCTCTGCTAAGATAACACTCATCCCTCCTTGAACTCGAGCGATCACACTGTGGATAATGGCTCGTCCAGTTGAGTTGTTCACTGTAGAGGACAGAAACAGGAATTAGAAAAGCACTGGCTCACTACAGCCTGATTTCCTCAAACCAACAGGCCAGTGGGGGGAGGGGGAGGTGACTGATAAACTGCAGAGTCACTTGATTTTGCTATTTCACCTGCACTTGGGATAAAGGCTTATTTTATGAGCATGGCACAATTCACCCAATTTGTTCATCAATTAAAACATTTTTATCTTGCCTCTTTGGCAAATAGCCCCTCCACTCCCCCCCCCCAAAGCTGCTCACAAAGTATAATACATTTTGGAAGTGATATCCCATGTTAGTCTGCTGTAGCCAAAATAACAAACAGTCCTGAGGCACCTTGATGATGAACAAATTCATATTGTGGACAATATTCAGCATTCCACAGCCAATAAAAACATAGTATGGAACGTTAAAAAACCCCAGACAGATATAAGATCCATAAAAAATAAGTCTTGGCAAAGCAACAGGGTTTATGACATTAAAAAGAACCATCAGCATCCTCCAAAAAAGGGCCTTGGAGGAGGCAACAGAGCATGGGTGTCATGAGACAGCATCCACCATGTGCTCCTCTAATCAGAAACAGAACAACATCCATAGGTTTGACAGCTTTGGGTTACAGATTTTTTTTGGGGGGGGGGCTTGAGGTGGATGGGGTTTGAGGAGGGGAGGGACTTCAATGGGATATAGTGCCACAGAGTCCACCTTCCAAGGCAGCCATTTTCTCCAGCTGAACTGACCTCCGTCAACTGGATATCAGTTGTGATCCCAAGAGATCTCTAGCCACCACCTGGATGTTGGCAACTCTATCATCCCAGAGACCCTGTTTGGTGTAGTGGTTAAGTGCGCGGACTCTAATCTGGGAGAACCGGGTTTGATTCCTCACTCCTCCACTTGCACCTGGCTGCATGACCTTGGGCATAACTCAGGCACAGCTGTTCTTGAAAAAAGAGTAGTTTCTGTCAGAGCTCTCTCAGCCCCACCTACCTCACAGGGTGTCTGTTGTGGGGAGGGGAAGGGAAAGGAGTTTGTAAGCTGCTCTGAGACACCTTTGGGTAGTGAAGGGTGGGGCATAAATCCAATCTCTTTTTCTTTTTCTTCTTCTTCTTCTTCTGTAGGGACAGTCTCCCAATTTCTGAAGGAGCTGGCTCTCCAAGCATCTCTGGTGAACACTGACTTCTATGTGATGTTGATCTTGAGCTAGGGGTACATTCAAGCAACTTGGGCACCAAAGCTAGCAGAGTTAAAGTCCAAAACAAAGCCCATGCAATTACTATCACTTATCAACATATGATTATTATGTATCCTGTGGTAGGACGAGCCCACCGCCTGAATCAAGATGACCCTGAAGTTGCTAGGGCAGGTGGAGACCCTCTTGGCAGAGTTCCAAACCAGTGGGGTGCAGAGACAGAAGGAGGGAGCCCCTGTAGCTAGAGAACGGCCATGCACTGGGTGTCTGGGATGTTGGTGGCTAGTTGGGGCAGTTCCCCTATCACCTAAGGGGCCGGACTTTGGTAAGGAGAGAGGGTGTGAGGATAAAACATATGCCCAGGCAGGGCCAAAAAGAAGATGATGATGATACTGGATTTATACCCCGCCCTTCACTACCCGAAGGAGTTTCAGAGCAGTTTACAATCTCCTTTCCCTTCCCCACAACAGACACCCTGTGAGGTAGGTAGGGCTGAGAGAGCTCTTTCGAGAACTGCTCCTGAGAGAACAGCTCTGAAAAAAACTTGTCACTGACCCAAGGTCACACCAGCAGCTGCATGTGGAGGAGTGGGGAATCAAACTCCATTCTCCCACATTAAAGTCAGTGTTCTAAACCACTACGCCAAGGGGCCGCTTGCCAGATAGCTGAGTTCTCATATGCTAAATAATGCACTTTCAGTCCACTTTGATGCACACTGCAACTGGATTTTACTGTGTGAAATGGCAAGATCCCCTTGCAAACGCTTGCTAAAATGCATTTAAAGTGGACTGAAAGTACCATATTCAGCATGTGTGAAAGTGCTCCTTTAAGTTGCCTACTGCCTGCATCTGTGCCCAGCTGTTTCTGCTGCCTCTGCAATGAGTGGCGATGGACCAATGGCCCCCACCCTCCTTGCTATGGCACGCTATGCTGGCCACCCTCGCACTGGTGTCACCTCCAGTCCCATATTCTAAATTTTTAAATTGTAAAATTGCATCTTGGTTTCATTGGCTACTTTGGTCTGCCTCTGAAATGGCAAGCTATAAAGGAAACTAAAATATCTATGCTCTTTGAAAATACACACCTTTTAAAAAAATCTCCTTTGTACAGTTTTTATGTTCGAACAAAAGAGAACTTTGCATTGCAAAACGGACCATGTCATCATATCCCAGGCAGGCCTTTACATTCTCTACTGTGACTCCTGTAAACAAAGGTAGAACAGACAAGATCAGAGAAGTGGGAATGTGGAATACCAAATTTCCTGAACCATGAAGCACCAAAAGAGTTTTCATTGAAATTGCATCCCTCCTGTTCCTAAGATGCTTCGCAAAGATATACGGAGTCTATCTGCTTTTATCCCTGCGTGATTCGGAACAGGAAAAGTTAAACAAGGCAAATATTACTACAATGAAAATTCTAGCTTCACATCAAAAGTAGAAACTCTAGCTACTGAATTTGTTGGTCAATCAATAGGGCTAAAAGTTGCACCCCCAAACCTCCCAAAAACCCCAACCCCAAAAAACAAGCATTTATTGAGTTAGCAAATGTCCTGGGCTAGCCCAATATCATCAGATCTTGGTGACCCTGTTTAGTACTTGGATGGGAAGCTTAGGGTTGCTACGCAGAGACAACCCACCTCTCAGTGTCTCTTGCCTTGAAAATCCTACAGGGTTGCCAGAAGTTGACTGTGACTTGACAGCACTCTCCACCAGTAGATATAATATTTTACATTTGGACTAGGGGAACTGGGTTTAACTTCCCGCTCAAGCCGTGGACCTCACCGGCTAGCCTTCATCCAGTTTTTACTCCACAAACTTATGGGAACTGCATAGGAATCACATCTCCATGAATCTGTCCAGCCCAGGGGGCTCTTTGGATATAACACATCTGCAGAATTTGCTGCCTGGAGCCAGGAATACTTTGATAAATACAGATTTGATCAGCCCATCAGGTAGGGTAATTCTTATACAGAGAGGGAGAGTTGCACCCAGCTGCAGGGGCTTTTCTCTCAGCCTAAACCTGGGTACACGTGCTGGGAACTAAATTCCTTGGGGAAATGGCAGATTATAAATCCAATCGGAGAGTTGGAAGGAACCTCCAGGGCCATCTAGTCCAACCCCCTGCACAAGGCAGGACATTCACAAATACCTCCATCTCCACACCCCCAGGGACCCCTGTTCCATGCCCAGAAGATGCCACAAAACCCTCCAGGATCTCCAACCAAACTGGCCTGGAGAAAAATTGCTTCCTGACCCCAAAGTGGCGATCAGCATTTCCCTGGGCATGTAAGAGAGGGCCACAAGAACTGAGCACTGATGCAACCCTTCCTGCCCTCCCTTTTGTGATCTGCCTAAATTCACATAATCCACATTGCTGTCAGATGGGCATCTAGTCTCTGTTTGAAAACCTCCAAAGGAGAGTCCACCACCTCCCGAGGAAGCCTGTTCCACTGAGGATCCGCTCTGTCAGGAACTTCTTCCTAATGTTTAGCTGAAAACTCTTCTGATTTAATTTCAACCCACTGGTTCTGGTCCGACCTTCTGGGGCAACCAAAAAACAACTCCACACCATCCTCTATATGACAGCCCTTCAGGTAATTGAAGATGGTTATCATATCACCTCTCAGTTGTCTCCTCTCCAGGCTAAATCAAATGAATCGATATGCAAAACGTATAGCCATTTTCCCAGTGAGGCCATCAAAGGAACATGAGGTTGTGGTCAAAGGCAACAGAAGCTTCCAGAGGGACACAGTGTTCGGTTAATAACTTTGGCTGCACTGCGGCAGAACCCGATTAGTAGGGAAAAGAGGGCCCTTGAATTCGGAGCCCATACCTTCCTCTCTCATATTCCGCTTGTCCAGGACATACAGTAGTTCATATATTCCCCCGACCTTTCCCTTTTCTGTATAGTGAGTTCCGTATGTTTCCAGAAATCTAAAATATTCTCCCATGTCGTAGTTGCTGGGCAGATTTTTTAAATCCTCAAGGAACGTGTCAGTCAGCCGAACGTCACGGTTTCGCATTATGTACGTTCCCACTTCTATGGTTCCTTTCAGGTATAGAAAGGTTTGCTCCTGTAATGTCGAATGAAGGGATTATTCTTACATCCTTCTTCTAACAAGAAAAGGAAGGGCTGGAGACTCTGCCAACATTCACACAAGAGTGTTTCAGCTATCTCTCAGCTATGCTCCTGCAGAGTGCAGGGGGTTGGACTAGATGACCTGTAAGGTCCCTTCCAACTCTAACATTCTATGATTCTATGACTATAATATTCATGTTGTCTATATTATAGATGGGCGGGAAGGTGGCATGGTATATAGCCTGATCTCATCAGATCTCGGAAGCTAAGCAGGGTTGGTACTTGGATGGGAGACCACCGAGGGAGACTGCAGAGGAAGGCAATGGCAAATCACCTTTGCTTCTCACTTGCTTTAAAAGCCTCCTGCTGGGGTCACCATAAGCCAGTACAGTAGTGACTTGACAGCACTTGGGTGTGTGTAAAGTGCCATCAATTTCCAGCTAACTTATGGCAACCCCCTAGGGTTTTCAAGGCAAGAGATGTTCAGAAGTGGTTTTTGCTATTGCCTTCCTCAGCATAGCAACCCTGGACTTCCTTGGTGGCCTCCCATCCAAATACTAACCAAGGCTGACCATGTTAGCTCCTGAGATCTGATGAGATTGGGCTAGCCTGGGCCACCCAGGTCGGGAAACTTACATATGCATATTATAGACATCAGCTACTTTAACTGTCAACCACCAGGCCCAGATGGCATACATCCGAGAGTTCTGAAAGAACTCAAATGTGAACTTGTGGATCTCCTGACAAAAATATGTAATCTTTCCTTAAAATCTGCCTCCATTCCTGAGGACTGGAAGGTAGCTAATGTCAATCCCATCTTTAAAAAGGGTTCCAGAGGAGATCTGGGAAATTACAGGCCAGTCAGTCTGACGTCGATACCGGGTAAATTGGTGGAAACCATTATTAAGGAAAGAATTAGTAGGCACATAGATGAACAAAACCCATTGAGGCAGACTCAGCACGGTTTCTGTAAGGGAAGATCTTGTCTCACTAACCTGTTAATGTTCTTTGAGGGGGTGAACAAACATGTGGACAAGGGGGACCCAATAGATATTGTTTACTTTGACTTCCAGAAAGCTTTTGATAAAGTTCCTTATCAAAGGCTCCTAAGTAAGCTCAAAAATCAAAAACTGGCTAATTAATAGAGAGTGAGTATAAATGGGCAATTTTCTCAGTGGAAGGTGGTAAGCAGTGGGGTACCGCAGGGGTACCGCAGGGATCAGTACTTGGTCCACTGCTTTTAAACTTGTTCATTAATGATTTGGAGTTGGGAGTAAGCAGTGAAGTGGCTCAATTTGTGGATGATACGAAGTTGTTCAGGGTGGATTGTGAGGCACTCCAAAGGGATCTGTCAGGGATGGGCGAGTGGGCGTCAACATGGCAAATGGGGTTCAATGTGGCCAAGTGCAAGGTGATGCACATTGGAGCCAAAAATCCTAAATATAAATACACATTGATGGGGTCTGAACTGGCAAAGACTGATTAAGAGAGAGATCTTGCAGTTGTAGTAGACATCTCACTGAAAATGTTAAGACAGTGTGTGACTGCAATAAAGAAGGCCAATGCTATGCTGGGGATTATTAGGAAGGGTATTGAAAACAGATCAGCCAATATCATAATGCCCCTATATAAATCAATGGTGAGACCTCATTTGGAATACTGTGTGCAGTTCTGGGCACCACACCTTAAA